TTTTTTTTTTTTTTTTTTTTTTCTTTTTCAAATGGTAGCTTAGGCTGCCCCCTTGGTGAACAGCAAACACTGTCCCAAACATGCCTAACAAATCTACATGAAGCTCAACGAAAGTTCTGCAAGAAGTTTGATATCATGACCTACGAATTCAATCGAGTCAGGAAACCACCATCTTCAGAACCAAAACCAAGCAATTTATCAGCACTTACGAATCAGATTTAAAAGCCCCACCAGCACACTGCCATAATCAGGGCACCAATGTTCATCAATGGATATCCAAGCCCCTATAACAGTTCATTTTCGCCACGCCCCTACCTGGTCTCACCCAAGGACACACAACTAAGATTATTCTGCTGCATGTCCTGAGCATCGACATACTCCTCAACCTTAGACCTCAAGCATCCAAGTTCACTTTCTGGTGCCTTTTAGTAACTAAGCTTTGATATATATCTTTGTACAACAATATCATCCGCAATCTAACTAATTCTCCACTGAAAGAAAACTAGAATAAATATAACAAAGGAAGATTAGGAAAATGGTTCCCTTAACACTATTTAGTCAAAATGATGCTCACGGAAACTGCTTCCCTTCAAAGGTCTGTCCAAAGTTCCACGCCTTGGGAGCTACGTTGTAAGATGTAACTGTGAGCCCATCACTGCTAGTGACCTCGAAAGAAAGAGGTTGGTTTTTTAGATCAGCACTGACATGCCAGTTTTGGCCCCAATTTCGTCCCATTGGAAGCCAACCAGTTCTTGAACCTTTGATCTTCACAGAAACTATGTCTCCAACACCAGCGACATTGGTGATCAGCACTGAGATAAAGATATTAGAACCATCAATGGTGAAACGAATTCCTCCTTCCTTTCTACACTTGATCCTGTTTCAAACAGATTTAACAAGAACAAGATATCTCAGGATGAGAGAAGGCATTTGTCTGTTGTTAAGCATGCTTTAGGCTAATATCATATAATTGGGGGATGACATTGACAGCTCAGAGATTTGAGTACATATGCCAAGTATGACAACTGGAAGTGCTGATTCGACCATGCACCAAAAAAAACACGGGTTTTGTCATAAAATTAACATCACACAGAATTTTAGACTCCTAGGCCTCGTTTGTTTGGGAGGACTGGACTAGAGTAGCAAAATGCCTACATTTCATGTGTATTTAAGGCATAATATGGATATTGTTGTCTAATTTGGAGGATGAAGGAGGACTATTCATAAGAGGTTGATGACTAAAACTTATCCCTCTAATCCCACCATTTTCAAGAGGATTGGGGGGGGGGTTGTAAGTTTTAGTCATCAACCTCTTAAAGATAGTCCCCATTATTCCTCCAAGTTAAACAACACATCCATATTATGCCTTGAATGCACATGAAATGTAGGCATTTTGCTAGTCTAGTCTACTCTATTCCTCCCTATCATATGTGTTCCCAACTGTAGATGTCAAGTGGTACGACTTATTCCAGAACTTAAATATAGAGTTAAGCTAGGTTTACAACTTGGTAAAGCCTTCTTTAGACTCACACAAATCTTATTTTTCAAGATTTCTTATTGTCTTCTATTTTTAGAAAAAATCCAAAAATGGACCTTTCAATTCCGCAGTCTAGTATTTGCATTGTTCAAATACATGAAACTCGTCTTGACAGTATTTCCTCATTTTCTGCAACTAGCAGCCTATTTGAGTCATGTGAGGTAAGATGCCTCATTGGTGCCAAAGGTGAGAGAGATCCAAATACATTCCCATGTACCCAAATGCCACAAAATCCTGGACCAGTGTGTGTGTGAAGTTGTTCTATTAGAGTTGCCTCAGCAAACCTTCTTTATCATCTTTCTATTCCACGAAGATTCTTACTCTGATTAAGACCCCTTATTCATCTTCGTATCTCTTTAGGGTTCGTATTCGATTAAAACTACCTCGGCATCCTATATAGGCCATTAGGGTTTGATCTGCTACCCGATTTGCCTCTCTAAAACTCGCTGTTGAATCCAAAAGTTACCATTTTCAGTTTCACTCTGCTCATATTTTCTTTTTTCTCATAAAAAATTCACATTTAAGACAATGTGATGCCAAAGTCCCGTTTTTATTTTTTATTTTCCGGAATTTATTAGTTTTGGTCTCAAATCTAAAACTAAGAAAGAGTAAAGTTGAAAGCAACAAATTTGGAAGCCCCAAAAACCAATTAATAAGCAAACAATAACCAACTTTACCTGCGATACTGGACGGGCATATTGCCAGCCTTCCAAATGGCGATCTTCTCGAAGGCCTCGATGGGGAGCACCAGGTGCTTGTTGGGAGGGTTGCAGTGGCCCCCACCGTCGGCGGTGAAGCCGTAGTTAGGGGCGCAGAAGTTGGTGGCGGTGACGATGATGGAGGTGCCCGGAATGCACCAGCGCATGTCGTCGACGCAGCGGAGCACGAAGCACGCGCCGCAGATCTGGCCGCGCTCGAACAGAGGCTCGCTCAGCCCCACCGTTGCCATGCCGTAGCCGGCCTTCACCAAATCTCCGTAGCCGCAGGCACCGCCGACGGCGTCCCGGGGGTCCGAAGCGGCGTAGTAGGTGGCGCGTGCGGACTGCCAGTCGTAGATGGAGAGTGAGGTGGTGGTAGTGACGGAGGATGAAGGCAAGTGGGAGAGGGCTGTGGAGGCTAGAAGTGTGAGGAGGAGGAGGAGGAGCAGCAGCTGCTGCAGAGTTGGTGACATTTCTTGATGTGGTTTTTTGTTGTTTTTGTTTTATGTGTTGTCTTGGTGGTTCTTAATTTGCTTTCTTCTTACCAGGAAGTAGAGTGAGTGAGTGAGTGAGTAGAGCGAATGATGGAGGAGAGAAAGAGACACAGTGCCAAAGATACCAATAAATGAAGTAATAGACGGAAGTCTCGAGTGAGTTGTAATGTTTTTTGCTTTTCACCTCGTGGGACGCTGTCACTCGCGGTGGGGCTCACACCATACCATTAGTTTTGTCTATTTTTTAAAGTCCTTTTCACCTATGTTTTATATATATATAAATATAAATATGAAAGAAAAGAATCACTATTATTTCCAACTTTGGGCCATATTCTCTTGTTATAAGTATTCTTAATTGCTTGAGTTATAATACCTTTGTGAAGTGCCTAAATTGTCACTATTTGAAGGGATTTGAGAATTAGCAAGAGAATATGGCCCAAAGTTGTCACACCAACTTATGCGGTACACAACAAATATTATATTGCAAACCATATAATCCTTTTTACTCATTGCAAAGAAAGAAAAAAGCAAGACGTTTGTAGATTAAGTAGTTAACATCGTTGATGGGAGAAAAAAACTCTAGCTGCTTTCTCTCTCTATGAGTCCTAAAGGAAAAAATTCATAGAGGGGGGAGGAGAAAGAAGTATTAATGTTCATTCTCCCCATCATCTCTTCTCATTTTTTCCTTTTGGGTTAGTGAATAAGTCTATTGGGATGTTTTGAATAAGAAGCCCATTGTGGTGATTTCTTCTGAGCAATGCTCGTATTTAAGTTTCCCATCACCCCTTTTAGGCTATGTTCTCAATCACATCATTCTCCCAAAATTTATTCTCTAACACTACTCATGTTCTCTTTTAGGTCTACATCGTCTTTGACGAAGATTGCTGCAAATCACCCAATTATTCTTTGACAGGGTTGTTGTTTTTGTTTATTCGTTCGCTATTATGGGAAGGTTGATCGTTGGAAATTATACTTTTCCCAGATCTGTTACGAATGTAGTGGTGATGGTGGCCGTGTAGGCATTTCTTTAGGTGATGGTGGTGGTAGTAGGATTCATTTAGATCATATTGATCTCTTTGATTATACTGTTGAAGTTTATCTTTGATAAATAAATAAAAATGTAAAAAGTGATTAACATCGTTTATCCCTACACCATGAGAATTATTTATATTTGTTCGCTATAAAAAAATTAGAAATACAAAAAAAAGTGTTGGGAGAGGAAAAATGCCAAGTGGTGCAGCGACTTAAGTAGGCTAGAAACCCAAGAGCCAATTTCTATTCATTCTTTTCCAAAGCCCAAAGTATGGTGTTTAACCATTAAGCATATACGTGATCATCAAAGTCCAACTTAGGCTCTTGACCCCCAAAAAAAAGGTCCAACTTAAGCTTGTCTTAACAAAGCACAAGATAGTTGATTATTCACGTTTTGCTCTCTTCCTTCACTCTCTGCAAAGAAACTATATTCAATACTCAAATAGTTTAACACTTTATTCGAAGAATATTTCTCTTCAACTCATAAATGTTAACACTGAGACTATATGAAATTCATAGTTACAAAGAAGGAAAAAGAATGGAAAGTAATACAAAAGCTTGTAGTACCAAGTGCTGGTTGTAAAAGCAAAGCATGGAGATACGAAACATACAAGAAATGGCAAGCTTGCCTTACACAGTTGAGAGGTCAAAACCAGAACTACCATAATAGAATCTGCAAGGCCACAGAAATGCTACTTACTGTTTTTCCCATTTTGAGTCATCTACCAGCAGCTGAAACTGGTCACATCTTAACTAAACGGTACCACATTAATTTTTCCCATTTTGAGTCATCCACCAGCAGCTGAAACTGATCACATCTTAAACTAAACGGTACCGGAAACAAGTTCCTTGTTCTGTGAAAAAAGACCTCTTGACTAACATAGAAAGATTCTACGACAAACCTCAATAGCAGGACATTACAAGGAAAGGTGGACTCTTTTCCCATCCCTGTCTTCACTTGCTATTGTAGAGGTGTCTCTCTCAGCCAAACATCTTTTATACGGTACAAATCCTTTTCTACACTTTCCAGGGCTAGGGCTTGCTCTTAATTCAGAGAAGGCTGAGTTTGCACTTGCCTTAAATTGGAGAACCGAATTTGGCTCTTGTTCTTTACCCTCAGTCTCAATACCTAGACATTTGTCACCGTTTTCCTCATCATTGACTGATCCAGCATCTGAACCAGTCCAAGACCCTTCCTTCTCAACTTCCTTAGGATCTCCAAGATTACCATCAAAATGTTCTTTTACTGCTTGCGGCTTATGGAATGGAATAAAAGGAAATGGCAATTTTGGACATAAGGTCCACCATGGTGCAGAATAAGCAGAACCAGATTCTACCAGATTTGAGTTCTGATTCTGAAATTGCATAAAATACATGCCTGGATGTACTCCATAGGGAAAATTATCCCAAACATGTTCCACACTCCCAGATGCAGATTCTGTAGCTGTAAAGTTACATGGTGTTGATGTCTGCACAGGTTTCTCCTCTTTCACATCAGAAGGCAGTGATTTTGAAGTTCCCGAGGTTGGAGAAGATGGTCTGTAGGAATCCGTGACCAATACAGTTCTTCCAAAGAGTTTAAGGCTTCGTGCGGATACCTCCTCAGCTGAAACTCCACTAGCAGCAACATTATCCGTGGGAAATAACTCAAGCTTCTGGACATTTTCACCAAACACAACCAGTAGAGTATCAATATCACATAAAAGGCTCATAATAAATTGGACAGATATGCAAAAGGATAAGCATATACCATTGATAATTGCATGTTAGGAAGTGAACCATTTTCTGCTACAGATGGTGATGTAGATCCACTTTCCTCCAGTGATGGGTTGGGGGGCTCAGAATGATTTAAGTCCACACCATGGACATCAGCAGCAGATGAAACGGGTGATAAACTACGACTGGGTGTATTTGAATCAGCGGAACCCAGTGTATCTGAGCCAATCACAGATAATACTGATGTTGGAGACTGGTTTTCTGGCTCCGAAACTGATAAATTTGGAGATGCAGACCTTGTTGGCCGCTCTACAATAAAGGTCTCTTTATTAACAGGGTGTACAAGTTTTCGGGGATAAGGACGCATTGGCTTCCGTTTTGGTCGAGGAGGAGGGATGTCAATGGGCTCTTCCGAGATTACGTTGCTGCCATTTGAGTCACGAGCAACCTACGACAAATACAAACTTGAGGAGTCAGAGAGCAACATCAAGCACGAAAGCATCAACCCTTCAAGTATGGTTTGCATGCCTTGAGCCAATAAAGTTTAACTTACATTAATATATGGGATTATAGATACTATGAGAGAGAATGGGGGGTACTGGAATAAGAGCAGTAAACCTTAGAAAAGAACTTTTGAGCATGACTTCGAATCTGAACTGCAGTCTTGGTGCCAACATGCTCTGTCATCCAGACAGAATATTTTCAGTGGAACGCGGATAGATGATAAGATTGTTAAGTAATATCTTAATGTATCTCCACCAAGTGACATGCATCTCCAGCCAGCTTTCACAGCTGACATACTCAACTCTAATCTCAACTAATTAATATATTGCCAGTGATACTTTTAATGCAAATATACCTTCTATCTTTCGCCAGGCTCGACCATACAGCTTTAAAGCTTCAAGGAATTTCTTATGCTCTTCCTCTGTCCATCTCTCTCTTTGTTTTGTGATTGTGTATGGTTTTCTCGCCTATTAAAACCAAGTTAAGGCAAGTGAGTGAATGTTGAACAACAATTAATCATAATCTTAATGAAAACTAAAATAGGAAAATGGAAAAACAAAAATAAAAATTGAAAAACCTTGGGAGCAGAGTCATTTCCATTAGAGAACTGATCCTTCAACTGGAGCCCAGAAGCACTAAATGAAACCCCATTGTTTGCTGAGAGAACACTTTCTGAACGACTACCATCATATTGATCCTACATAACATAACCAAGAAACAACAATACAAGATCAAAAATGTTTCTTCTTCTTCAATCACCACCCAACACAACAAAATTTTCCTCAGTTTTCAATATAATTAAATTAAATTAAATAAATAAACGGGGGGTTATTTTAATTTATCTACCCCTTCAAAGCACTGTCAGAAATTCTCTAAATTTAATTAATCCCATAGAAATGAGAAGCATCCACAGTTAATTAAGAAAGTGTATATATAAAAATTGATAGCTGATATATTATAACATAAATGGAAATTTCAGCGATCCATCAATAATTTCACATAACCACTAAAACAGAGTGCGCCAGTTATATTATAACATAAAACGTAAAAAAAAATTGTGCATACATACTTGAGCAGCAGCCATATCTGGAGAGAGCATTAATCCACCCACCATGCAAAGTTGACCTCTTCCTCAATTCTGTGAGATACGACACCGTTTTTCCTCACTCCTCTAGCAAGCAAAAACCAAAACAAACCCTTGTCTCTATCTTCCCCACACTCATACAAGAAGAAAATACTCATAAATTTACACTCTTTCTGTTCAGACAGCTAATTCTATATGGCCTTGGGTCCATTTTATTTGTTCCCCAAACTAGACTTTCACAATCTAAAGCCAGGTTTTTGGTCAAACAACTCCATTGCTTTTAGCTCACAGGACCTCAAAAATTGGAAACGATTTCTTTCTTTCAAGAAGAAAACAAGAACTGGGTTTCACTTGGACAGAGGAAAGAGCAAAACCCAAGTGGATAAAACTGAACCAGAAGAAGAAGGAGGAAGGTAGAAAAAAGCAAAATAAGGAGAGAGAGAGAGAGAGAGAGGAGCGAGAGTTGAATAGTGCAGGGTTGTGGGTGTGTGATGAGAAAAAAAGAAGAAACCAGGTGGTGACACGTCAGCATCAGTCTCTGCTTTTATTTTTTGTTATTGATGAATTTTAATTTTGTTTTGTGAAACGGAACACTCGAGAATTCGATGGAATCTTGTGGCTCAGGACGACGGAGGCTCTTGCCACATGGCAGCCGCCTGTCTTGTCTCCTCCCCGCTTTTATGATATATAGAGTGACTTTTTTGGGTGCGAGAAATTCAGCCACCACGGGATAAATAGCCACGAGGGACAGGAGCTGTACGCGCAGCGAAATCATTACCATTATCGTAGTCGCGCTGTTCTGGCTCACACGTGCGCTTTCAGCCAAGTCACTTCTATCTCCATATCTTATTCATTATCCAGTGCAAGATTATTGGATAAAACAATTTCGATTTCTTTTTTCCATCGATTAGTCTTTTATGAAAAATTAAAGAAGTTTCAAGTCTTTTAACCCAAAAATAAATAAATAAATATAAGGTCTATTGTATTTCATCCAAACGGATTGACTTGTTGTAGTATTGTTATACTGAAGAAGTTTTGAGAATGTGACGATTATTTTACTTACATCTGTTATTATTGCAATTTTATTTTTAAAAGTCAAATTTTTAACCTTTAGAATGTATTTTACTGTCTTGGTAAGCTTATATTAAAAGTTTATGAGATCCTAACAGTGAAACTTCAAGTAAATGAGGAGAATCCGAAATATGATGCTTAAGGTGTTTAAAATCACATTTTATGTATAAAAAATTCAGTATATATGAGAAAAAACCATCACTTTTTTTATTAGATGAATTCATTTCTCACCACGTATAAATTTCTTTTTCTCCTATTTCTAGGTGTTGTACGCTTAATTACTTTATTATTATTATTCTTAATTTTTTAATAAAACTAGTTGCTTGATATATGGTGTGAATTATAAATTGTTTTTGGATGGAAATTTTAATTAAGTTTAATACTCTAAATATAAATGCAATCAGTATCTATTCCTTCAATTAAGATTTCAATTATGTCTAACTTTAGGAGTACAGACATTTGAAATATAGTTGAGATTTGATTTTATAAAATATTTAGTTCCAAAGTTGCTCAGCAAAAAGAAAAAAGGAAAGAAAAAAGTTTAGTCGTCTGAAATTATAGGTAGCGACTCGCGAGTACACTACTTTATTGCCTACACCAACAAGTGGAGGAGCAACCTCTGTGTGGAGAAATAAAAAAAAAGAGAGAGAGAGAGAGAGAGAGAGAGAGAGAGAGAGAGAGAGAGAGAGAGAGAGAGAGAGAGAGAGAGAGAGAGAGAGAGAGAGAGAGAGAGAGAGAGAGAGAGAGAGAGAGAGAGAGAGAGAGAGAGAGAGAGAGAGAGAGAGAGAGAGAGAGAGAGAGAGAGAGAGAGAGAGAGAGAGAGAGAGAAACCAACGGTAGGCGTAGGCCAAGAGTTGTGGATTACATTAAAAACCCAAATAGAGAAAGAAAAAAAGAAAGAGAAGATGAGGTAGAGTTTGAGCTCAGGTGCACTTTCTCTTTCTGCGCTTTTCGCCACGTCATCGCCACTGACCGCCCCAGCCCACCTCCTCCACCACGTGTGCAAGGGACCATGGATGGTTCTCGGCCACTCACGCGCAGCTGGACCCACGATTATAATAGTAAAAAGTTTCTGTCCACAAGTTTTGTAAGGGTATTTGGGTAAATTAAGCGCATTTGATAGAGCTGTTTTGCACAGCGCCAGGTGTCGAAGATCGTGGAAGGAAGCCTCCAGTCAACAATTCAACGAGAGGCTCAAGATCTTTCGCTTTAGATATTCGCTTTGTGGCTGAAACTGGTGACCCTTTTTTCTTATTTTTTTAATATTTCTTTTCATATTGGCTTCCAGCTGACGTTTTTCTCATTGGACGTTGCTTCAGCCATCCATAATACTTGCGTCATCATCTTCCCCTGTTTTTTGTTTCCTCTCTCTCTCTCCTACACTACACCTATGACCAATTATATATCAGTTTTGGACAAAAATAATAAATAATAAATCGGCAGAAAAACAATAAACCGATTTTAGTGGCAGAAGCATTATTTTTCTAGATTGGATGAAAGAGATGGGTTAAGATATAAGATTTGCTGAGCTTGTGGCTAAAATTAAAAGAAAAAAAAGTTGGCATTGTGTTCCGACGTAATTGGCTTTTTGTGCCACTTTTGAAAAACAGTTTGTGAGTTCAAATTGCACTTCAATTTTTCTAGTTTGAGACTTGCAACAGTTTGGTTCATAGTTATAAAGAATTTACAAAGTACTCATAAAGTTTGGAGCTTTATAGCTTTCTATAGCTTGAAGAACTTAGACTCTATAAGGTACAAGAGATCTTCATCAAACATATCAATGTAGGGATTACTTATAGGAAAAAGATTTGACCAAATAAGCAAAACTGACGAAGTTATCAAATTTGGCACCTAATTGAATTCCTAATGATAGAGAAATCAAATTTGTAAACCAATTTAGGTCCCAAATAATGTGGTAGATCAATTTTAAATTCAAAAGTCGAGCATATTTTCGCTATGCTATGCTATGCTAGCTTCTTTGATTCATAGCTAGTTTCAAACTATAGGGTAGGGGCTAGGGTCAAATCAAAGCTTTGACTAATAGGGGCGCGCTAGCCCAAGTCAGGGAGCTGCTTGTGCTTGGGGGAGCTCAATAACAGAATCTTCTTTCTGCCTCTGTATTCGCTACTGCTTCTTTTTATCTTTTAGCTAGGGCAATACTCCTAAGAATACTCTCCCAAGTGTTCGTCTTTTTAATTTCTCCCTGAAACTGTTGATCCTTTATGCTCCCTTCATTCCGAACTTGCCAATTTAGGTCTCAAATAATATGGTAGATCAATTTTAATAAGGTGTCGTGTGAACTAAAAGGCGACCACACAAACCAAATTGCCTTGGTTAATGGCATGAGAAGATGTGATACATCTTACGCCCATTAATTATGAGCAATGGCCATTATTGCTTATGGTTGTCATATGTCTCTTCCTTTGTCAGGGTAATGAGAAGCATAGGCTCTTCTTGAGTCCATGAGACATGGAAAGACCCATTAAGGCCTTTTTGTCAAATAAAAGCTCATGTGGAAGCGAGCCTAATATAACTTATTCTTAAGTTGCACGCCTCTAAAAGATTAGCCTAAATCTTTGAGATCTCCCTAATAATTGCAACATCAATAATTAAGGGGATCACCTATTTTGGGTAAATATCTCACACATCCCATGTTAAACAAATAATTGACTTAACGTACATATTAACGAGTTGTCACACCTCTATCAACACTAAAACGTAGCTTCTCACGGCAATAAACCAGCCTCCAAAGAGCTAAATATAAACCAATTTACACCTCTTAACGAAGATAATTGTTCCTTGAACTAAGAAACTCTATTTTTCTCTCCATACAATCGAATTAACTTAGACATCATAGACTATTTGACTCACACCACACGTTTGTGCCCAAATACTATGACTATCTTCTTTCTTAGTTTCATGGTGCCAAAGGTCTTTTGAGCAGACGTACGAATTCCCCACACCCCTCGACATCCATCTCCAATAGGCGACCATAAAATGTATTATTCAAGGATTGAAAAGCTTTGGGTTTTTGAGGATATTTCAACAATATTATATTACACATTAAGAAGTAATGGTTACTTATGGTACTACTTGTGAAGTTAGGTAAGTTACATATAAGTAATGTGGGCCAAATTTCTGATGGAGCATGGAGTGGGATTCAAATATAAAACATGTACTACAAGTATTTGCTTGTTTGGGCTTTATCAATTGTGGGCTACATATAAGTTGGTAAGTTTGCTTTTGGGCCTTACAACGCACGTGGGCCAACTTGAAGGGAGATCTTGGCGGGCCCATGAGCCTTACTCCTCTTTAGGATGTATATGGGCTCGGGGCTATCGTTCCGGTAGATGAGTGATACGATTCTATTGCATCAACGGTTGACAGTTATCCATAGAATGCAAATTTATTCACCCAATGCGATAGTAGTAGAACAACTGATAATCAAGATGTTCCATAGAAAAAAAAAAAAAAGATAAAAGAGAATAATTGACAAAGGTAGCAAAATAGAATTGGAAATTGGAAACTAGAGAGAGAAACAACTGTTCAGACAGTCAGATTAGATAGGTGGCAACCCAAAACTGGTGGGAGGGGGAAAGTGAGGTGTCAATGTTGGCGTAAAAGAGGCGCCACTCTTTTCTGAGATTAGACGAAGCGGAACCAAAACGTCATATTCGCCTGCATATTCGTTGCCCAAAAACCAAACTCATCTTTATTATAAATACCAACAACCTCTTTACCCCACAAAAATTAAAAATCAAAAATCACTACGCAACGAAACCAACCACTGTTTTACGTTACTATAGACACTTTGCCAAATCTCTCTTTTAGTCCTACGTCCTACAGTACAAACACATTCCCGAAATTTCCAAATCTCAAAGTCACTCTCATTCTTCAAGGTTCACACAGCTTATATCAATATCAGTATCAATATCATCACCTCTCTCTCTCTCTCTCTCTCTCGACTTTCGAAGATCACATCTCTCGTTTCTTTTTGCTCTCTCTAGAATTTTGAAGCCCTTCACCAATGGCTGCTGTGGCTACCGCTAACATCGACAAGCTCAAATCTGAAGTCGGCTCTCTGAGCCAAATCAGGTGCGCTAGTCTAGTTTCTCGTTGGATCCAGTGGTGAATTTCTGATTCCTCTGTGATCTGAGCTTGATTTTGTTCGTTTTTGCAGCGAGAATGAGAAAAACGGATTCATCAACCTCGTCTCTCGTTATGTCAGGTGAAGTGAAGTGAAG